TATATATATATATATATATATATATATATATATATATATAACCACTTAATGAAGGAGTAAAATCAAGAAAAACAACTTTCCAACGTTTTGCTAAATTAAGATGTAGCAAAAACATCTTTATTGTAGAAAAATTTAACCGAACGGTGCTCTTCACAGGGCCGAACGGTCCAATTCAAAAGGCCGAACGATTCTAACAACAAGCGTGTTAGAGACCGATCTACTCTGGTCACAGGCCGAACGGTTCTGACAAAGATATCGATCGATGTTAAAGCAGTAGCGAATTTAAATGCAAATGGGCCGAACGATATTAATGCAAGACTGAATGGAAAAATGAGATGAAAACTAAACAATTGCACAAGGCAAAGCCGAACAGTCTCTAACAATGAAGCATATTAGAGACCGAACGATATTAATTTAAAATCGAACGGTCTATAAAAATTGCAGAAATAGTAAATGTGCACAATAAAAAAATGCAGGAAAAACGAAATTTGCAGAAATAAAATGTTGGAACAGTGTAGAAAACGTAACAACAACTGAATTGAAATGCAGCCCATGAACTAAAACGTAAACACAACCGTGAAAACATGCCAAAAGGGCAAACGAGAATTGAAGCAGTGCTTGAAACTGAGATGAATAGTAAAACACAACAGAAATGCAGGTAAGTGACGATGAAAAGTGAAAAACCAACAATGAACGGTGAAGAAGACAATGAACAGTAAAATGAAACTGAAAAGTGGATACAACAATGATTTCAACTCTTAAATTGCACTTTAAACAAGATTCAATACATGGAAATGAAAAAGAAACAGAACCTCAACCTCCCCAAAGGGGATGAGGAAGAAGATGCTCCCAAGAACAAAGTGCCAGCGGGAGACTTGTAGAGAAATCTGCTTTTAGGGTTTTTATATAACCAAAAGACCAAAAATGCCCTCCTAATGGGCTTGTCTTACAAAATGACCTACAATTGGGCCCAAAGTCCTAAAGTTTGACCCAATGACCTTTTAAAATGCTACACTTTTGATGTGCCCATCATCTTGAAGTCCCAGAATGTGCTTCCAACACTGCTGCTGAGTTCCTCTGGTTACTGCATCTGATCTTTCAGTCATGAAAGGCTCATACCGTTCGGTTCATCAATGCTCTACAATTCGCTTGTGAACGCTCGGTTCAAGGAACACATGCACTAAGGCTTTGTCGTTCAGTTCAAGAGTGTTCGGCAATTCAGTGTAAGCTTTCACAGACCGTTCGGTATATGCGTCCACATACCGTTCTGTTCTGTGATGCTCGCCCATTCTATTCAACAGTTGAGCTGGGTTTCCACAAACCGTTCAGCCAATCCTTCAACAGACCGTTCGGTAGAGTAGTGCTCGATCATTCATTGCAGGTTCGGGAACTAATTTGTGCAGACTTGATCAGACCGTTCGGTCATCAAGCTCTGC